TTTCAACATCTCCAAGATTGTGACAGGTTGTACATAGGCCATATCATTTTCGGTGAAATCGTGAGACGAGGAAGCTATGCTTTGCTGTTGGTTGCCAAACTCCCGAACCGTTCCTCAGGAAAATGTAGCCACCAATTTTTTGTCTCCTCTGTCGAGCTTGTCTTGCCAACAATGTTAGGATCTGTTTCCAACCGTGCGACAACTGCCACTGTTTGGTGAATCAACGCGGCCGATCAAGAACGAGTTTGCACTGATCAAATTAAACCAAGTCCCACTATCAAAGATGTGAGCAACACGGCTCAGATAGATATCTTCCATGGGCGGAGGATTCACATGTTTTGGTGTTCATTGTTGTTTCATGTTTTAACGTTGATATGGACATGATATGTGACACCATTCACCACCCGTACATCCCAAAGATGCTGGAATGAGAACACTCAACTGATATTTTCATATCGGCACAATAATAGCGGACTGTGAACCAATAAACCTGAAGGCCCCAGCGCTCGTGGAACGGCAAAGAGACTCCGCTGGTTGAATGTTTCTTTTTGTAGCTTTCGGGCACCCAAATCATGACGCAATAACAACTGCCGAGGGACCGGAAATGCAACTCCCTTCCACACGTTCCAATTAATAACCAACTATGATCTGGCGGCCATGCTGCTCCTGGGAATAGTCGCACGAAACCCCGGGGGCAAGATAACTCCTAGGGCAAATATGTGCGTTCCCAAAGCTGATTGAGCCATCAACAGGTACGGGTCTCTAAGAACCCGAGATGGAGTCAGTCAAGTTCAACCACAATATGACGCGATGCCTGGTGCATCACCTTTTATTTCTACTGGTGTGTTTTCCCATGAGTTTACAAATCGAAATTATGGACATTTCATCTCATTCTCCGCTAATCTTCACGTCTAAAACGCTTTTTGTTTCAGTACAACAATCTCAACTTCCACATCATCTTGGTATATAGGGTTCAAAAGGGTTATATTGAGGTTCCAATTCATCCGATAATTTCACGGTCAAACATGAAAAATCCGAACAGTCGTGGGATCTGCAACCGTTAAAAGTGTTTTCGGCAAAATTTGTAATGCCGTGACTTACAGCTTTTGTCCAACATGTATGTTTCTTCGTATGATTTGACATGAAACATCTCAATGACAACGACTTTATCCGCCTTGGACCGCTGGATCTCTTGCGTAGTCTTGAAAGCAACGTCCAGGCGCTGTGATGTAAGTGACCTGAAAATGTCGGCGAGACGAAAGGCCAGGTTGGCTATACCCATGTCAAAGGCCGTATCAGTCTGGATATCAATTTACTTACTTCTTTCAAGTCCTCTCTCCATATTGCAAAGTTGGTGCGGACCAGACAGGGTAGGAATATCAATAGCTTCACCCAAAGAGTCCAATATCTTTGGCAACAACATCGGATTCAAAGCTAGAAATGCCCTTCGGTAATATCCCGCCACTTCTAATTGGCTATCAATTCTCAGGATCCGGGGTTCCATGCTGGGAACACGGATTTCTTCACACTGAAAAGCTCTCTGTAGGCTTAGTATCATAGACTGCAAATGATATATTGAGACCTCGGCACCAAACAGTGGCGATTCTTTGAGCCGGCATGCCATCGTTGACAGAAAGGTTTGGTCGCGAGTCCAGATTTCCTTGGATTCATATCCCTCAAGTTCACCAGCCTGTATGCCTTGAAAAACATGACAAATCAATGCGACGCTTGCCCTCACTCCAAAAGACCGGTACGGAGGGTGTTCGGTTTGCAAGGTTTCAGCTAGAAAGCTCGAGTGAGGGGATGCATTTTGCCCGATAAGGAACAATATATACCTTGTTTGGAGTTCTATGTCTTCCAATGTTACTGTGTGCAGCCCGTCGGACTCAGTCAAAGCTTCGCGGGCACCGATTAGCCATCCTTGAAGATGACCATCCAGCAAAACAAAGCTCTTTTCCCAGTCACGGCCGCGGCGACATATGACCTTCCACAGAGCTCCTACATCCATAGGAAGCATTGAGGAAATGAAAAGATAACTTAGAACCAACAAGAGTTGGTGGACTGTGGGTGGACCGTAAATGCTTTTCCCAGCTATGGTAAAATCAAAATTCGGCCGTGGAGGCAAAGAGGTCTGGTTGACAGTCAGTCGTGGGTCTCAAAGCCTCATAAATTGTGATTATTACCGGAGGGGTCATCTGCACAAACGGCTTTGTCGTTTGAGAGGTTGACAAGCTTCGACCCCGTTCCATAATATCTTCAGCGGCTGTAGGGCCATTTGTTTGGGAAAGCGACTCCGCCACCGTAGCCGCAACAATCTTTGGTAGTATTTCGTAAGGCAGATTTTGATCTTGCTTGAAACCCTTCTTCTTCAAGTGCTGAATATGTTCATCATCTGCACACCCTACGACGTGGTGCATAGCCTCAGCTGTACTCGTTCCGTGTTGCAAAGCCTGTTCGGTTGGCGGTTCTTGTACTTTCCATGTAGTTTGGTAATCACCAAATTCACCCTCTTGCACTTGTTTTTGCTGATTTGGCCGTAGCTCTGAGAGAGCAGGTCTCCGGTCTGGCCCTTTCATTGCATAAACACACAATTTACCACGCCTGACACAAGCTTGACAATGGGGGACTTCACGATTGCATCGAATTTTCAAACTGCGGCATGATTGGCAGGAATGAAGAGGCATTGTGGTTAGACTGGTCAATATTGCAAGCTACTGTACCACCGTTGCATTCCAACTGTTTAAGCAAGACGTGTGATAGCTATAGGACGCGTGGACATAACAATTGGTGATAGACTGTCACTCCCGATGCACTGCAATAGGATATGTCAAACGCTCTTCTCAGCAGGCGCAGAAGCGGAAGGCGTATTTCTGAAAGGCGGTTTCAGCTCAGGGCGAGTGGTACTGCGACGCAGAAGAATCCAGTATGTAGGGGCGATTGTTGTAGCACACCACGTTCAAGGTAACCTGAAGCTATACGGGTAGAAGTCAAAGAGTCCATAGAAGAGGAAAACCGGAACTTATAGTGTCTGTTGGTTTCAGAGACTGTATACAGTAACTCAAGATATGTAGCCAGGTTTGATGATTACAGTCCGCTGATTCCGGATAAGTTCCTAGGAAGGAGTTCCTTCGTCCTAGGAGCAACCGGCATGTTTCTCGGGACACCAGTCATGCATTCAAATGCCCATGGTGACACATAAGGGGGGTTTTTTTGAGCTGCAACAGAACGCGGATGCCTGGGCTGTCGCGTATGCCAGCGACCAAACACCGGCATTATCTAGATGCTTGAGCTCTGACAGGAGGAGTTCCTTGAATATTAGAAATTATGAACAGTGCCCTGGGAGCCGCGTTGCCTATCCTGGGCATTGCATCAGCTACCCTAGGCTCGGCTTTCTGCTGGAAAGTAAAGTTAGAGGTCCAAAAGCCTTTTGGTAGGATTGAAAATCATTAAGCAAACTTCAAGACATTTCTGCACACTTCTTGCACTTACTAGTTCCCCGCTGTTTCCCTCATCATATTCGCCACCTAGACCAAATTCCCGGAAGCCATTCGCCGAAGGAAAGAGACCCCCTTTCAACATACGTCAGTAGTACATGATAACCTCAAGAATGTCATACACGTTTTCCTTAGATAAACATGCATACATCGCCTTTGATTTATTATAGGTATTGCTATATCTTTGGAATGAATTGCTCGTCTTTTCCGCAGAGTGATATCTGTGGACAAGGAAGATATCTTTCCTGCGGCTGTTTTCTATTTTTCGGTTAGAGTGTATTGTGACTTCCCATTGATAAAAGCCTTGTTCCGAAAGGTATTAAAAACGCTCTCTACGCGTTTAACTGGGAAAGGAATCTGGGTGCGGGCATCACACCGGAGAAATTAATTCATCTATAGTGTAATTCCACTGGTTTGATTTGATGATTGCATAACTGATTAGGGGATGAGACCTTTGGAAACGCGGTATACCATTGATGCTCTTGCTTGGTACTTAGTCTCAAAGCTCTCCAGATATTGATTCCTTTTGTTACTTTGCACCTAAATTAGAAATATCGCTTTATAAACTCGGCGATAGATATCGACTTGTCCATTATCTATGTAATAGAAGATCTCTAAAATATGTCCCCATGAAAGCTACTGAGGTAGGAATCTCGTATATCTTCTCTTTCTTGATGCTGCAGGTCTCTTAAGCGACGGAGAAACGATGACAATGTCAACCTTCCTTGCAGTTTATAGTGTGGTGGTCATTGATCGACCAGCCGAGGCGTTGGGTCATTGAAGTACAACCGGACTGGCCTACCCTGAGCCAACCCTGAGCCCACCTGAGCCTACCCGGAGCCAACCCTGAGCCCACCTGAGCCTACCCGGAGCCTACCCGGAGCCCACCCGGAGCCCACCATGAGCCTACCCGGAGCCAACCCTGAGCCTACCCTGAGCCAGCCGAGCTTATGTCATCTCAGATGAGGGGTAAAATACCGTGAGTTCCCCGCCTTGTATTGTCGTACATGATCATTCCGGACCATCCCCACACTCACATGTTATGTATGGTAAATCTGAGCATACCGGAACAACTCTGTCGTAACAGGTCATACATAGCACATGGAGCGTTCCAACAGATCCAGGAGTCCTAATCAACCATATTGTCATTGTGGGCCATCCTCAATACCGGCTAGCAAGGTTTTTCCAATTTGGGAGCCTGTGTGCCTCTGTACAAAATGAAGCCAACAAATTTCGATATTGACCAATGCTATCATCCGCAATGATTGTACCATTCCAGCAGGAAGTGAATAATGGATCCAATTTCTTGAAACATCTCAAAACAAATAAAAATCGCGATGAGCGATCGAATTACAGAGCCCTGGTCCTCACGATTTCCACCTCCTATACGTGGCTAGAATCGTTCCAGCATGTTTCAACTATGCACCTTATGCAATTGATCAACCCCTCATATAGCATTCTACATATTCTGATGATTCTGTCGGTAGCGTCTCAATTTTGATTATGTCAAGCAATAAGAACAATGGGGAAAGATGGCCGCCTTTTCTTCATTGTTGTGCTCCAGTACACTTTTATTGACCCTTCGCTCCGCCCGGGGAATTCTTGTGAAAATTGTTTGACCACCTCCGACCAAGCCAGGTTTTGCTCGTCTTTAAGCTTCATCAAAAGGCGATCTTCCTCCGCAGACCACCGTAGTCCCTTTCTCGAAGAGGTGTGCGGCGCTTCAACTGCTTCATTGTTCAAGCTCGTGTGGCCATAGTCGTCGCTTATGTCGTCATATTGGCTTGATGGAGAAGCGGCAGCGGCGTTCGAAGGTGCAGAAGTGCAATGAGTTAACGCACCCTCAAAAAGCCAGGACAGGAACTGTAGTCGGTCTTCGACGGAAAGGGACGAGAATTGGGCACGAACTGTGGGGAAAGAAACGCTCTGACGGTGACCGGAACTTTTCTTGGGCCGAGTAGGGCCAAATCCTGTATGCCCTTTTCTCGTACCCGAACTTTTCTTGGATATTGAGGACTGACAATCAGTGTCCATCCTCCCTTTTGAATTTCGTTGTCTGCGTTCGAGAAATGAGACTTTGTTCTGAGAGCGAATGAATTTCGCGGGACATTCGTCCGGGTTCATTGCGATGTCGGTGATCCTCGTAGTCGTTTGAGTGGGTTCGACAACCGGAGAGGCATGGTCATTTAAGATTGCAGGATCGATAGTTTGAATATTTGGAAGCTCTGCATTCTGAGCAGGGATTCCAAGATCAACAGTATGAGGATTTTGACCGGCAAAATCCACAGAATCCCAGTCGCCCGATTCCAAATTGAGGAATTGATGCTCTTTTTCCCAATGGATATCATCGGCAAATCTTGTAGAAGCGACGTCATCTGCACCAACTATGTTTTGTGGTTGCAAAATGTTCTCGAAGTTGACAGGCTCCGGGTCAATAACAGCGGAAATTGTCTGATCTAAGCCCTTCGATTCTCGTCGAGTGGTTTGAGCTTCCGAATGCAACCCATCTAAGCAGACCTCCGTCGGCGGGCGGGCAGGAAGGGGGTGTCGCTCGGGTTTGTGGGAATGAAACTTTTGGCTCTTCGGGTCATAGTCGCTAGAATTGGAGCTTGGCGGAGTAGTGGTGATCGAGACTGGACTTGGGTAGCGACAAGTACCAGGGGAATTGCGCAATGGCTGAGCTTTGTCATGGAAAGGATTCCATGGACGAAACGATTCCAGGCGAAAGTTGGTGTTTGACATGTTTAAAAGCTAGGTGGCTAGAAGAATCCTGAAGGTGTTGCTTTGGGAAGGGAAAGGGGGAGTTGGAGGTTTAGTGTGTAGCAGGGTTAGGGGGAGGGAAAGGGGAACTGATGGATTGATTGAGCCATTCGAAGGAGACTGTCATCTCCTTTATAGACAAGTATTTCCCGTGAGACAGCGCAGAGAATTCACCGCGGATTCAACTCGAGCCGTTTCACCGTCGCATCAAGGCGCGGAGCCACACCAATTGCACATCAAGGGGCCGAAGGCCATCAGCAAAAGCTTCCGCACACCTCGGTGGCGGGGCTTTTGTGACCCGGCTCCACAGTGGTCGTCAGCCTAATCTCCAATCGCTCATGTATGCGCGCGGCGGCAGCCGTCTGTAGAATGTACTATCGTCCGCCTCGTGATGTAGTACTTGGCATCGACTGAGACCAGGTGAGAATGCGGCAATTTCGCCATTGGTCCGTATCACGGCATGGTCGTCCGAAGTCTCGTCGACTGGGTAACAATGGTCAGGAGAAATAGACTATGACGAAAGTCTTACCACTAGGCAGTCGCGAACAGGCGGACCTGGGTGGACGACTGGGGGCTGTACAATGCAACCTCGGACGATCCACAGCAAATCAGAAGCGTGTGTATCGAGGGTTTCCGAGACACTGTTCTCCGGCCGCGCAGAAAGAATGCCAGCGAAATGAGCGAGGCACTCGGCGAAATGGCCTCGTAATAGGAGGAATAGGAGGGTTCCTCGAGAGCTTCCTAGTATAACCAACGGTCGGCGGAGATGCTAGCATCATGTTGTACGAAGACTTCATGATCTCAATGCATCAAGTCGCCAGGGATTAGCTCGCGTTGCAGGCAATGCCGGCCAGAACAGTCTCAACGGTGGATCGAACAGCAACTCCGGCGGAAATGAAAGGGGCGATGCATCAGGTGGCAAGTCAGTGCGTAGAAGTTGGTGGGGGTCGAGAGAAAGGGAGTCAGAAAGGAAAAAGAAGAGAAAGTGCGTCGACAAAGCTGCGAGGAGGACGAGCGGTGTTTTATAGATGGAGGTGCCGGTCGGGGGACGGTAAAAGCGGCCAGAGGTGGCACTAAACCCGAACCGGGACGCGGACGAGGGCACCAAACCCGAAGGGGCAAGGGGAAGGCGGAGACGGGCAGGCGGTCGAAGGCGGCAGGACGGCGGTGCAATGAGAGCCGGTTCTGGCCCCCCGCTCACCGTGTCCTCGTATACTATAGCATCACATTTTGTAGTTTATTTGATATATCCGCTATATAGTATAGACTTATTAGTTAAGAAGCGTAGAGTCTAAATAAGGGCCACTCACGACTATCATTAAATACTTTCGCCGCGCTATACCGGAGGCTATAGGGCTTCGTGACCTCTTCAAAGCCCGTAATTTCGCCCCCACGTTTCGTACGATAACGTAGCCAGCCGCCTATTAGATTCTGTTCTAGGGCAATTCGGATCCTATTGGGTTCTCTTAATACGTGACAAAAAACATATTAATCAAGAAATTCCGGTCTTAACTTCAACTCCTACTATCTAAGTCTATTCAAAACCCGAAGACTATACAAATTTTCTAGATAGTTTATTACGCGACCGTCTTTTAGAAAGCGTCTTAAATGCCCTAATTCGAAAAAGCAAGCCTAACAAGAAAACGTGCGGGCTAAGGACTAGCGTAGGATCAAAAATAACCTCCGGGATTAGGAAGGTATTCTTATTATAATTAGCTAAGCTAACCTAATTCGAGCTCGTATCGCTATAAGGAGGGTAAAAGAAGAATAGAAGGATAATGATAGGGCAAGGTGAATAGAACCATAGATATAAACGAGGGATTCGGGGCTAGGGGAATATCCTTACGATTCCTTCTTGCTAAGAAATGATTTTGTGAATTCCGGCCTTATATAAATGAAAAGCCGAGGAAGGTAGCTATTTAGATCTCTTACTAGGGTTAACATAAGGTCCCGGTAACGAAGGTTTAAGAGCGCTCTAGGCCGGCTGCTAGTGATAGCGGCTAGTTAATAGTATAGGAGGAGCTACACCCGGTACTAGCTATAAGGGAAAGTTATCTCCGTCGTAGATAGTACCACTCGAGCAAACTCGGCTATATCTTCAATATATATAGTCGCTTTCGGTTGCCGATCGAAGCAGAGATTTTTCTTAGTCGTAACTATCGTAAGCACCTATAGGCCGTTAGCCATAAATAGATTAGTCTAACCGATTAGCGGACTAATAGACTTATATCCTCGATTTTAACGATCGTATCTTTACTAAGTCTATACCCGACTTTAGCCTTATAGACTAGATACCACTATTTCTAGAATGTCTCTAGCGAGCTTTTATACTTTAGTCCCGGCGTACGTCGCCCGTTCTTCCCCCTCCGATAATCATAGCGCTAGGAAAAGAGAGCTTTTAAAAAACGGATTGTCTCCTCTATGTTAGAGAGCTAGAAGAAATATTCCACTAGGTCCCGCTTTCCGCCTTCGTAAAACCTAGAATAATTAGCTAAATACAATTAGAGAAACCATAGGGGTAGCACGCTCTTACCTATCCTAATAGTCCCGCGTCTTATCTAGTTTGTCTTAGGTTCTTAGGCTATAGCGTTTTTGCCGAAGCTAGGAGATATCGAGACACTCTACCTCCTAGAGATAGTACTCTAGTAGAAGCTACTTCTCTTCGTCTTCTATAGGAAATTCATCCTCCGACTCCGATTCATCCTCGTTATTATAATACGTAGTGACCGAATCGGTTTCTAAGGCTTCGTTCGAGAAGATCTTAGGTAGTTCTAAGCTCGTGTCACTCTCGTCGTCTAACAAATTAGGACGTAAAAGGCGAGGCATAATATAGGAGCAGTGTCCGGTAGGGAATAGGGAACTAATCAAGAGTGTATAGAATCCACCCGAAACACTAGGGTTCTACCGGAGAAATAGATTGGATAATAAGAAGATCGCTAGCGAGCGGGAAGAATAAAAATTCGGGAGTCATAGCGGTCGGTATATATGGAATCTAGGGAATAAAGGTGCTCAAAAGGTGCTAAAAGGGGAGACAGAATAGCTCCTTCTTTCCGGACCCTAGTTAGAACGGGCTCGTAGCGGCAGTATCACGAGTAGGACCAGGAACGGCCGGCGCTCTAGTAAGGTCGCTACGGGGCTAGGCGCCATACAACGGCCAAAAAGAGAGTGAAAGTGGCAGTAGGTCACATTGGCTGTGTCCTTAGATACACGTGACGCTAAGACCGTCGCCGGTGAATGGGAGGCTTAAAACGGCCCCCGAAGCGGCCTTTTCTGGCCTGCTATTCACCGTCTCATTGTTATGTGGAGTATACTAGCATTAATATATTTGCTCGGCACTATAGTGTTGGTATCTACGTCGATACTTAGGCAATTGTCCGAGGTATGCCCGCTTAGAAGTAGCTTATACGTTTTGCCTACTCGATAAGTCGGTCTATCGATCCGCGTAGGCTATATAGGCTAGAATATTCGAGCTCTATCAATCAAATCCTATGTGTGATTGCTATAGAAGAGTTTAAGCAAGCACGAGAGTAGGCCTAGGACGTAAAAAGACGAACGTTTAAAAATGCTTAGTTCGCTCTCTAGCGCGAGTTTAGTGATAATCCTCCGTAGAAAGGGTTAGTTTCTCGTTATCTACGGAAACTCTATAGACGATAGGTACTACAAAACAAAAAAGTGGACAAGTTACACAAGAAATTTAAACGAGTAGAGGAGCACTATAATCTTACTATACGTGATTTACGAAACGAAAAAGGATAATAACGCAATCGCTTAATTCGTAAGAACTTAGGGCGGTATAAGAACGAGCAACCGGTGATTGATAGCGAACGGTAACTATCCGGAAAGATAGTCGACGAAGAAGTAAAGGTCGCTTTAGAAAGTACCGGCTATATAACACTATAGTATATAACCCTTATCGATACTATCCTAACGATGCCGGGTACGACGGTTAAGAAAGAGTATAAGCGTCGAATTGCTATAGTCAATATAGTGATTACGGTATATAATATAGAAGAGGGCGCACCCTCGCGGCCTTATGTTACCTAAAAACGCTCCGCTAATGCTATAAATATGCCACCGGCTGCCACGTTACCTAAAAGGTAGAATCTAATCCCTTTATATAAGAGCGACGATATATTTTCCTAGGCTATCGCTTTAGTTTACGTCAAATCTCTAATAGAGACTAACGATCTACTTTATTTATCTTAGTAGCCCTACGCTACCACAAAGCGATCGTATAAGAATATATAAGAATTCTGGATCTCTAAGCCGACACTTTATCAACAAGTATATCAAGCCGTTTCTAAATAACGTACTTTTTAAGTGCTCTATCTACGGAGAGAAGTTAGAGTCGAAGTCTACGCTACTAAACCATACGGAAAGGGTGTATAGAACCGTCTCCCGCTCTTCTAGAATAGCTCTTAATATAGCATAAACACGAAATTGTTTCCGTTTTCTCACTTTATAAAGATGTTACCGGAGTTTAGGGTTATAGGTGCGGTATTTGTTATCTTAGCTAGGATTTATAGACTTATTTAGGTTTTGGTAGAGCTAGTCTTTGCTATATAACAAGAATGTTTAATCTTCGCTTCTACGAATCTAGTCAATCCCGGGTAAAAGACACTATATAGTCACGGGGTATAACTATATATACTATATCACCTTTCTTATGTTATAGTCTTTATTTCTTTACTAGGTGTAGCCGTTCTAAGTATAAAAATCGTCTCCTAGTAGGCCGTGTCTTCCCTTTATTTTCCCGAGCCATAGTTTCCTTAAAGCCTTAAGCTAGAGATAGGCCATGTTATTAACGGACCGACGAGGCCACTAGTGCACCTATCTGTGCTTTATTTCTAGGCCTTTGGTATAGGCTATCTTCTATTTTTGAAGCCTATAAGTAGTCGCGAATTACGAGTCCGAATCATAAAGCTATAGTATGGTATTATAGCTAAGAACTCGGTTATAAGCGATAAGTAAAACGGGCATCGGTCTCCGGGCGTCTTCTAAATAGCGTTATACACCCCGTAACTTACGGACAATTTTTAACGTTATTTGCCTAGATACTAGAAACTACTAAATTGTGGTATCTAGGACGACTAATTGATAATAAGATAATTGACCTAATGATCTATTATAATAATCTATAGTCTATATAATCGCGTTAGGCCTATCAACACCCTCCTAGTATTGAAAGCTATATAGGGCACGATTACTATGTGTTATAACACAGTTATTCCGGTATAGTGAAGATTACTATACAAAACACATAGAGATATTCGCCGGTAATAAGTAACTAAGTGTGACAATACGGTGCGGGGAAATCATAGAATTTCCCCTATCGGAGTTAACACCCAATTTTGCCACCACTAAGCCAACCCTAAGCCTACCCTAAGCCTTAGTGCTTAAGGAAGACATAGCAAATACAAATTCCTATATACTTACTATTTAAGTTCAATATTTTAGATTCTATTTTGTTTTGGGTTTTTTTAGACATTATAGTTATATTTTGTCTCTGTCAAGACTATAATGTTCTATGATCTTAATCTACTTAACTTAAATAATATGCGGCCTTATATAATATTGTTTACTATAAGATCTAGCGAGCTACGAGAAATAGATATAATCACGCTTAGGCAGAATAGTTCGCTATGTCTAGATTTCTTAACACTTATTATATACGGGGCTATAAACGCAATCCACACTATAAGAGAGTAGAGTAGCTCTTACGAGAATAACTAGATTATCCCTCGGGCGATGCTTAGCTACCAATAGTGGTTACTACTAGATTTTAGCAAAATACGATATGTTATTAGCAAAACTTATATTTCTTAGAAAATTAATCGATCCTACTGTCTCGGTGGCGGATAAGAAATCCACCGTAGCGGAACTAATTGGCTAGCGCTCTAGATTATTTACGCTAACAACGCCTTTATCTTTGTCATATTTCTGTATAAGCTATATCGTGATTGATAGAAGCGCGGCAATATATATAGCTTCGGATTGCTATAACGTGCAATCTATATAAAATTCTAGAGACGCTATTATTTGTTAGCTAGATAAAGTAAGAGAGGTTCACTAATAGACTATGACGGGCAAACCTAGAAGATAATAGATCCTAATTCTGCTTCGCTAGGATAAAGTATAGGAGTAATCATAATATACGCGAGGGTTAATAGTAAGTCGTTAACAAAAAAGAACGTAAGCTCGTCGTGCATATAGCATTTATGTAAGATAAGGACGTTCCTATGCTCGAGACGCCCGAATTTGTGGATTAATCTTTAAGCGTTCTACCTCCGGTATATCTAGATAGCAACCATACGAGATAGACGGGTACGGCGCGTGGTAATCGTAACTTTCCCGGCAATCTCATATATAATTACCTTTCGATAGGTATCCTATAGCGACTCTTATCTTACAATTAAGACGGACGCAATATCTCTAACACCGTACAAGCGTGGTAGGCAAAGGCTCTTACGAGGCCTAGTGACAACCTTCGATTGACTATAGCGGCGTAGTCTAGCGGCTTTCGTAGCGCGAGTCTCGTAGGTGGTGGGTCCTAATATTGAAGTAGGGAGCTAGGATTAGGCTTTGATAGTGTTAAGGTCATATATCATGTTCTCTATATATGGCTTGGTTAACATAATATAAGAAAGTATTACTTCTAGTTTAATTAGCGCATGTATTTAAAGGGAAGTGTGATCCTATTTATTTATACGCGTAGTGAAACGAATTGGTATTATACAGAACCCTAATATCTTTTTCGATAATTTGAACGTTTTCTTGTTTCTCTACTTAAAGATAGGAGATCGTAGCTATAATCGACCGCTATAAGATAAGGCTGCCGAGCCACGGTCCCCACCTAACACTACGACAGCTATACGATCCATTGTCGTCGAAAGAAGCGAGCGTGCTGGCTCAACTCCGGACCGGCATGGCGAGACTCAATGGATACCTATATCGAATCGATGTCGCCGAGATGGATCAGTGTGCATGTGGACAAGCAAGAGAGACCGTGGAGCACTTCCTATTTCGATGTCAGAAGTGGATCACGCACCGGACGGAAATGCTGCAATGTACCCATACTCACCGAGGCAACATATCTTTCTTCCTGGGCGGAAAATCGCCTTTGGATGACCAGAACTGGAAACCGAATTTGGAAGCAGTGCGAGCCACATTACGGTTTTCAATCGCCACGGGCCGACTCGACGCCGCTTAACCGCGTCAACCAACACAAATCAACCCTACCCCACCCCAGCCCCAATCTAACCCCCACCAACTACCTTGTGCCAGCGACGGTAGACGCGCTTCAATTGCCGAAGATAGGATGTTGAACACTTGGAGAAGCGCCTTCAAGCAAGTCTACTAACTAAACACTAACCCACAAGGACCCGCTAAGATATTGACATCTGAGATGACATACACTGAAAAGAATCTTGTATGGGCTGCAAGGAGACATAGCATTAGCTAAGGCGTGTTTATTTAGATCAGTGATAGTTGCCGTTTCGGTTCAGCCGCCGGGCGTTAATGAATTGTGTGTGTGTAAAACCTCCCACTCCAAGGCTCCTTGGTCATTGTGAGATATCTTGAACCGCTCAACTCCACCTTGCTGAATATATCCACCTGCAGACACCGATATCACCGCGGCCCATATCTTTCTCACTTCCTTTGTTTTATAAGGGTGTTAGTCTCGATCTCCTGGTCGGACTTAATTAGGAGATTATCCTAACACCAGGGTTTGATCGCCTCTTCCTTGCGGATGACGCTAGTATATAATAGACACCAGTTGATACGCGGGTAGGTAATCGGGACTAGACCTCCGCAAAATCCAGGTTTAGGTTGGGCCTGGCTCAAATGGGCCCCAAGCAGTGCAAATATGCCAATTCTTGACAGATGTATAAACTTCCAAGGTTACAGTGTAGACCATCCATGGTTTCGTAAAATACATGTATTCATCAGCAATTTTATGGATGCCAACACTGGTTTTATGCAAATAATGGGCTTTGCGGATGTCCAATCAAGACGCAGCATTTTGGTGCTATCACGTGATACCACGTGTTCAGTAGCCAAAAACGACGACCCACATCTTCGTAGCGTCTTTATAGTGGCAAACTCACCGTATACGGTATGGTCTAAAACACCAAAGGGAATCTCCAGAGGGCTCTACTTCAATATGATTAGCTAAGTTCTAGAGCATGGGGCTAGCAACTAGTACTCTTTCAGTTTCCACTCGCAGTAGTGGGCTCTTAAATGGCAGCCCTTCTCGTTCTTCGTTTTTTCCCCCAGCCCAACCAACACAAGTCTTCGGGTCAAATCCAAACAAGAGCATCAACAATGTCACGTGTAAGTCATCATTTTTAACCTTCTCAGGATTCTGACTAATTTGGGTAGATTCATCGAGACCCACCGGGCTTGACCAGCTGTCCGAGAGACATCTTATACTCGATATTCGAGTTATTGTCACCGACTGAATTTTATGCACTATGTCTCGTTCATACCAACGTTCGCGTGGTAGCCGCAAAATTTCTCTACGAGAATATTCAAATGATCTGGGAGCAAGAGAATCATTATGATCCTCCCCCAGTCACTAAACTTTTGCGAACTCTGGTGGCCAGGCCTCATTTGGCTACTCACATCAGAAACCTTCAGCTCACCGGCCTACCAACCAAACACCCCGCACTCGTGAGAACCATCCGTCTCGTGCCCATCTCTCCTACTGAGCTGAGCGAGTCTATATCCTTCATTCAAAAAACTGGGGTCCCGTATAGCGACCTTTGGATGCAAGAATTACAGCGAGGCAGACTCGATGCGGTTGTCGCACTCCTCCTAGCACAAATGCCGAATCTCCAGTGTCTGCGCCTGGGGCCTGCTTTCACACAGCGAAATGAAATTATCGGGATGGTTCTTCGTTCCGCCATCTTCAAGCCCGTAGACTACGGGCTACCGGACTTTCGGCATCTCCAACATGTGACTTACCTCCTCAAAGTAGGACGTGACTACGCGCGCGACCACGAGGTCAAAAATACCGCTGACCTTCTGCCCTTCTTCTATCTATCAAATGTCAAAAGTCTCTTGCTCGCCGTCGACAGTCCTCTCGCGATAACGTGGCCAAAGCCAAAATTGCCTATCCCATCAAGCCTCACATCGCTCGTTTTGAACACCGTTCGGGAGAACTATCTCAGGGATCTACTTTCAATCACGCCGCATTTGAAATCATTGCAGTGGAAGTTCTGGTACGACAGCGGTCTTCTCGATGCAGTCAATTCACCAATCGTTGACCTTGATCGGATTGGTGATGCGGTGTCTTGTCTTAAGGACACTTTGAGTGACCTGAAGATACTAGGCGAAGTTTATTTGGGAGGAGACGGCGATATTAATCTCCCTGCTATCAAGACAGAGGGCTCATTGAGTGCAATGGTCGTGATGGACAATCTGAAGACACTTCAAGTCCCATGGGCATTCCTGGTGGGATTTGCACTAGACACGACGAAACGCCTGCAGGATGTACTCCCAAAATATCTTGAGCATCTCACCATCACCTGGGATTTGTGTCTACAAAATGATGAGGACGTGGTACCAGATTGGCCTCAGTTCGAGTGGGCGGATCACCACATTCTAGAGGTGCTAAAATCCTGGCTCGAGGACCGAGAAACGTTCACGCCGAATCTTCGCAGGATTACTTTGGGACTAGTTAGATACGAGACTGACGAGTATGACTGGGAACCTTCAATGAGGCAACGGCTCGCAGAGCTGGGTGCTCATGCTGGAATTGTGTTTGACATAATGTTCACAGACGAAATGATTGTCCCAGATGAAATGTGACTAACATTCATTGATTGTACATATCAGCCCCAGGGTCACTTCCATCTAACCAGATGCCAATCCAATATATCTCGCATCACCTATGTGCTCGCCTTAGGGGTCGCGCTAGCCTCGGGGGGCTTATAGTCCAAAGCACACAAAGGGATCTGGTCGATAACCGGTTTACCCATTTTCTCCACCAAATCAAAGGGCTGTGCTTTTATCGTTATGTCCACCGGTTCCACCTCCAGCTGCTTGACAAACAGGTTGCATCCCCATGTTGACTTGCGAAGACGTTAGTGCTGTCAAGAGGATCCGCAGATTTGCTGATATTCACGATCACTCACCATGGATGAACACGGATCAGTATTTTGAGGCTTATCGTCCTTATCCGCAACAACTGTGCAATACTTCGCATCCCGACCTTTCAATGGAGTGTCTTTATTTTTGTCTGTGGTGTAGTACATTTGAGCACTCATTACCTCGCCACAGTTTGCGGAATTTTTGTGCCCTTCTGTGCTTTCGCCGCCATTTTTGTGGAAAGTCGTTTGGTATTCTTCAAGGGCATTGGAAACCTTTGCCTTGGGGTAGGCGAATGCAAAATTAGCTGACTTCTTCACTGACGAAGCCAAGAATATCTCGTTGCCAACAGCGAGTACAGTCATGGCTCGGGGTTTGTCCTTTTTAGCGGTAACCTCGTATAACTTCATGTTGGCTTCCATCTCCGCATATGCAAGATGTGCGAGTTGCCAGAGGTCACTGTCTTCAAGCGCGCTGACATCTTTTTCAAATGTGAGATGGCTACTCCACGCGAAAGTTCGGGGAATTTGGCGGCCTTTTTTCACATGCAGATACTAGTCAAATGTTCCTTCCCACTCCGCCCCACTATATTAGCCCAACAACCAACCCAAGTTTTTTTTTCACTCCTACACCTCCCCTATTGCTCCGATTGTAATGAAATTAGGACCAAAAAGTAGCAAAACGGCGCAGCTATCTACGTCCCAAAGGTCAGCTATTATCTATGCTCACGAGAATGGCGCTACGCAAGTGCAATTAGCTAATGACTTTGGCTGCTCTCGGCGTACAATCTACAATACGCTAAAACGCTATTCAGAAGGCGAAAAGCTAGAGAATCGCGAAAAAAGCGGCCGTCCCGCTATTATTAGTGAGCGCGCTTGCTCTCATCTCTATTTACAGGCACGTCGGCATCCGTTTTGGACCGATAAATAGCTAAGTGCTGCTACAGCTCAGCATCCGTCACCCTCCACTATACGTCGAATTTTGAAGCGATTCGGACTCGGAAAACGGCTATCGAAACAGAAAATACCAATTAAGCCTCCTCTTGCAAGGAAGAGGCTAAAATTTGCGCGAAAATGGCGACGCGAAAGCTTCCAATCGTGGATCTTCTCGGACGAGTGTTCGGTGCAACGAACCTCGAACTTTAGACCACAATAGTGCTTTCGTACAACCTCGGAGGGCCTTCGTAAGGACCTTATGAATACTAAAGCTTACGTTAAAGATATTTCACAAATGGTTTAGGCCGGAATCTGGCTAGGAGGTCGAACAGAATTAATAATTATAGAACGGGACAAAGAATCGCGGTCGGGGAGGGGTTATACTACGAAGTCGTATATTTCGACGCTCCAAAAAGGTCTAATGCCAATCTACACCCCTAATTTAGTATTTCAGCAAGATAACGCGAGGATTTATCTAGCGAAGGACACGCAAGAGTGGTTTAAAACTCACGGAGTATACGTCGAAGACTAGCCCGCGCACTTACCCGATTTAAACCCAATTGAACCGGTATAGCGCTGGTTAAAAGTGAAGCTTTTTGCATAATTTCCGGAGCTTATTAGCATAGGAAGGTCGGAGGCAGACTGGCATTATTTTAGAAAATGCCTAGTGGAAGCTTGGAAGGCATTAGATCAGGCAAAGATAGATACGCTAATATTGAGCATAGGAAGACGTTTGAAGGCAGTGCGGAAGGCTAAGGGGTATTACACAAAATATTAAACGAATTTTTGAAAGTGCTATTATTAAGCAACCCTGAAATTTAATTATATTATTATAGACCATAATGTCGAAATTACACGATGAATGACGCTACGGAACCATGTATGTCAAGGCCAACGAGGTGGTTTAGGTCTGATCTCTCTCTCATGAGAGAGAGATCCTATTTAATGAGAAGCATTTCTCCTGAGCTATACTTTACATGGTAGGTTTAATGCTGATCATGAGCTTCATGCTTGGCGAAGCAGGCATTTCCTGCCTGGAGATGCCTGGAAATGCCATGAATCTCAACACACCCCCTTAGTATTGAAGCTATTATGTCCTTCAAAACGTCTTTTCCAATGCTAGTGCGTCGCGGAATGTTTCGAATACAGGTCTTGCTAATGGCTTGGTGAGACCATCAGCAATATTGTAGGCGCCAGCGACGTGAGAGAGTCGTATTTTGCCTTCTTCAACTCTCTCGCGGATCCAATGGTAGTGGGTCTCAATATGGCGGCTTCTCGAGTGATGCCTTGAGGACTTGCCCATGGAAATCGCCGATTGACTATCGCTGTAGAGATGAATCGGGTCTGATGCATCTACGGCTCGTAGGTTAACGAGCAAGCGATAAAGCCATACGCCCTGGCTTCCTGCGTCCGAGAGAGCGTAATACTCTGCTTCGGCTGATGACTTCGTGACGTAGGATTGCTGCTTCGAAGCCTATGAAATTGGCCCGCTAGCGAGGTAGAATACCTATCCTATACGGCTTCTTATAGTGTTAGGATCCGATGCAAAGGACGCGTCCACGCACCCCTAGAACCCGTATCCGTCCTTATAGCTAGTATTACCACCCGTTTTCGGTTGTCCGTAGGTTATCGCAAGGTTGCTAGTTCGCTTAGCGTATCGGACGGCTTAGTAGACGGCGGAGAAGTGAGGATCGTGAGGTTTAAGGTTATGCTTCGTGAGCATCCTAAGCGCTAGGGAGAGGTTAGGACGTAAGACCGTGCTAGCGTAGATTAGACTACTAGTGAGAGACTAGTAGGTCTTCACGCTCTGCTAGTCGGCCGGCTCTTCGGCCTTCCTAAGCTCGATGCTAGGGCTAAATAGGATAAGAGGTTTTAGAGAGGAGGAGGTCGGTAGAACCTTAGGAAATCTGTCAATATAGGCTTTTTGGCCTACTTTTATGATTCTAGCTTCCTAGTCGCGTTGAATCCTAAGGCTAAGGTAGTGAGAGACCTCACCTAGGTCTAAAATAGACCATTTCTTAGCGATAGCTTCTTTGACTCTCTAAAGCGTTGTGGGAGACGTCGCTGCGAGCAATATATCATCCACGTAGACGAAGATAACGGTAATTCCACCCCCTTGCTCGTGGCGTACGTATAGACACGGGTCAGCGGAGGATGCAATAAAGCTTTTAGAAATAAGGAAGCTGCCAAGGGTCTTATACCAATTGGCTGCTAACTAGCGTAAGCCGTATAGACTCTTAAGAAGGCGACAGACTTTACCGTGAGGTTCGACGCTATAAAAGTCGAGACCGTCGGGGTATTATATGTACGTTTCCTCTTCTAATATCGCATTGAGATAGGCTAAGTTGACGTCTAAATACGTCGTATAAAGCTTCTTTAATATGATAACTATAAGGAGTACTCGGAGGGTCTCGTAGCGGCCGGTAGCAGCGTACGCGTCCTCGTAATCAATGCCTTCTCTCTAGGTATTACCTCGGGCTACCTACCGTGCTTTGAACTTGATAGGTCTGCTATTGGCATCGGTCTTAAGCTTATAGACCTATCGACCCGAGAGGATCTTAGCCCCTAGTAGTAGAGACGCTAGTTACCATACCTAGAGAGTCTTAAATTGAGAGATCTCCGACTTTATAGCTTGCTCCCACCATGGCTAGAACGGTGAAGCCTTAGCTTCCCGCAGAGATATTAGAGAATCGAGCTATTAAGCTGGCGTAGATTCGATATCCTAGATAGACGGAAGCGCTAGGAGAGAGCTCTCCGTAGAGAGCACCTTCGCTTCCGTAAGAAGCACTATGGTCTGGTCTTTATAGCATTAAATCTTAGCTTTTTTAGCTCTAGAAGCTATTGAAAATAGCTGAATTGGGTCTCTAGAATCGGCGTTAGATATGCTATCTAATACGTCCGATACGTCTAAGACCTCGGATTAATCTGAATTCTCGTCTAATACGTAGAATTCGTTATTCTTAGGATCGTCGGAGTCCTCTAGATTAGGTCTATAGAGGTTAACGGTCTTGGTATTAGCTAGAGAGGCTTGCTGAGTATTAGCTATCGGGGTGTTAGGGTTATTGTATAGATCCTAATCGGGTCCTTTATCAACGATTATATCTCTCACGACATATATTGTGCCTCCTTTCCTATTAGGAAATAGTCTATAGACGCGATATTGGGCGCCGCTATAGCTAGTGTATCTAGTAAGGTAGCCGAGCTCTGCTCTCGGAGCTAGGTAGCGTCCTTCGTCGCTTTGATGAATAGCTTCACGTAGAAAGACCTTCTAGACCTTGCTACCAATGACGCGTAGAAATGATAGGTCTGGCTTCCTACTATAGCGAAGCTCGAAGGGTGTAGTAGGAGGTCTTCCTTGTATCTCACGGCCACTATAAACCGTTATATTTCTCACGATAATAACAGTTTTCATGATCTTAGCCTATAAGAAGGTAGGAAGCTTGCTATTAGCTAGAATATATCGTATTCTCTCACTAACGAGCCGTATTAGACGCTCCACTTTGCCATTTTACTCGTAAGCGTACGGAGCAATAAAATGCCAGTGAATCCCTCTTATTTTAGCCCAATATTGAAGCTTTTGGAAGGTGAATTCTCTGCCATTATTAGTCTAAATAGCTCTAATTTCATCTCTTAGTTTAGGAGTAATAAGGTCCTTGACCTAACATTCCCTATCCTTTTCGTAGGTGCTAAGAAGCTCCTTAATAGCTATCTTAGCTTCCGACTTAGTCCTAAGGAAGCGGATCTCGGCCTATCCATCGAAGTCATCGATTATAAGAAGCTAGTATCTAGCTCCCGTGTAAAGAAGTAGGGTTCTAGTGTTTACAGGATAGAGCCTGTCAACTAGGTAAGATGAAGATGCCTGGAAGCGAACAATATATTGGAGGAATACAGAGACTGATTCTTGGAGAACCGCTGGGTTCTCCGGGGCAGACTATTTAACATGGGGGATCAGCGTTACGGTGAGCCAACGCTGACGTGTCGACACCTATATGGTGTCGATCCTCTGGGAGTGCGAGAGATCTGTGCATGGCTTCTGAGGATTCCGTTACAATTATCCCCCCGTCCAGTACGGGTGTCCACACCCGTGGTGAAGCCTGTAGAACGTAGCCCATTAAAAACCCAGTGGGAAAAGGTAGCTAGTTCTGGCAGGGACCATGGTGATTGCGTATAGGCAGTGAGGCGATGGGAAAACGATGGCGTAGTATAGGATGGTTGCAGGAAAGAAGATTGGGGCCTGAGGCAGAAATGGGATAGGGCTGGAAAGCCTCAAGAATTCCCAATTAGGATGTCGGAGGTCTGTTTGTATGCGTGGTGTACTTGTTGTGATAAACAAAGTGATCACAGTCAAATTGCGTGTTTGTTCTTGCGTTTGTTTATTCAGGTTGCAGGGTTTTTTCTTTGTTGTGATTCTACACCCATGGGTATAAATCCCCTGTTGGTTACCTTCCCACTTCTCTTTCCTCACCATTTTCCACAACAGCGACACG